GCAGCTGTCTAACTCTCAGGTACTTATTTACTGCTAGGTGAACGGGGGCATCAGGGCGAAAGAAACTCTGCCCATTTGTTTCTGCCTCCACCGGGGATCTAACCCGGATCCTCAGGACTACGAATTCCAAGCGCTGTCCACTCAGGCTTCAGGTCACCTGGCAGCTGCAGGACACCATTGTGCACACAATGGCCTCAGGAATTGAAGCCTAAAGGTAGTTTAGTTAAGCAAGATACAGTTTTGATAAGCTAGTTACATAATTTAACATATATTTTTGACTCAAGCGAAGCAGAACGCGAAATTAGGGTGAAAGAAACTCTGCCAATCTGATTAGCCATCGCCGGGGATCAAATCCGGACCCTAGGATTACGAGTCCAGAGCACTGTCCACTCAGCCACAGGCCCCTATCTGTCTGTACTTCTGCTTGTCTATTGCTCTCTCTCTCTCTCTCTCTCTCTCTCTCTCTCTCTCTCTCTCTCTCTCTCTCTCTCTCTCTCTCTCTCTCTCTCTCTCTCTCTCTCTCTCTCTCTCTCTCTCTCTCTCTCTCTCTTTCTTTCTCTCTCTCTCTCTCTTTAACTTAATTAATTTATAGTTCAGTGTAAGTACAAATGAATATTGACTGAAATATTACCAATTTCAAAATAGGCCAAGAATTCTAACAAGGACGAACAGTAACAGAAACGAACACGTTACATTACACGTGTCTGGTAAACAGCTGAAACACACAAATTACATTAAACTGTCGGATCCAACAGATGTCTTAAAGCCTGTCGTTGCAGCAGCTGGCGTGGAATGTGCGGAGGGAAGGGGAGTGGTGACCCCCTCTTCACACATCCCGTCCACACCTCCTGTAAACAACACATATACAATGTTTGGCAAACATCTCCGGTTCTCACTTTAGCTTAGTTGGTCTTCTCACGCTTATTTTCTTTTCCTTCGCGGCGAATGTGCTTTTTTTATGTTCTTGAAAAGCAAAGCAGCGTGCTCTGCCACGCTGAGCTCTGCCTTCAGCCTTTTCGTCAGCACGTGGGCCGTAGATCATTACCTTCAGTACTATGCAGGCGATGAGTCACAATAACGTGGCTAAAGTATGTTGACCAGACCATACACTAGAAGGTGAAGGGACGACGACGTTTCGGTCCGTCCTGGACCATTCTCAAGTCGATTCAACCAGTCATGGAAAGTTGTACAAGTGGGAGTTGAACTAAGAAAACAAAAACCCAGTTAAACCTTAGGAATAGTCGAACTAACCTTTGATGTCCAAACTACACACCAGAAGATGAGCAGACGACGACGTTTCGGTCCGTGCTGGACCATTATCAAGTCGATTGTGACTTGACAATGGTCCAGGACGGACCGAAACGTGGTCGTCTCCTCCTCCTGGTGAGTGGTTTGGTCATCATGTCTTCAGCCACGTTATTGTAACTCATCGTCTGCAACAGGAGAAACTTTTTCACCCATTTTGGTTACTAAAGGCAGTACCCGGATACGCCCGGGTCTCCCTCTCCCCTTCTTTCATCTCTTTCCGTATCCACACCTCTCTTCCCATCTCCACTTTTCTTCCTTATTTTTCCGCCTCAACTTTTGTCCCCAACATTCCCCTCTCCACTCTCCCTCCAAATATCCCTCTGTCCACCTTTCTCCCCCCCCCCACTCTCTCGACCTTCCCTTTCTTCAAACATTCCCCTCTCCCCCTTCTCTTTACACCTCTCCCCTCACCCATTCTGTCTCTCAGAAAAATTATATAGTGATCTATTTTTATTAACACGTACATCTTCATTTGCGCAGCTACCCTTGCCTATATAAAGGGGAGTACAGTGTGTCAAAAGCTATCTACGTGATACTAAAAATCCCCATCACACAGGATGGTTAGTTGTCTGTACTGGCTAACTTTAGATGGATTATGAGGATATCATCAAGAACGCAAGAGTGAACACGGTAGCTGTGATATTAAAATGTCCCTATCTCACAGGATGGTTAGTCATTCAGGGCCATGTGATCATTAGCCAACACTGGCAAATTTTGGGTGCATTAATGAGGATATCCTCAAGAACACGAGAGTTAATAAAGTAATTGCAAAGCTCCAGGTACCTCGTGGTAGCGGGTCTGATAACTGAGCATTCGGTGATGAAGTGTGCAAGCTCATGCCCCAGTTCCTGCTGAGAGAGTTTGCACCTGGAGTGCTCAGGATTGGGAGATCCGTCACCGGTAGCCACCTGCCACAGGTGGCTACCGGTAACCCAACCTGATCCTGGCAACCACTGTGTCGCACAGTCTGGTGGACGTTTTGTCCTGCCCATAAACATAGATTTCAGATCTGAACAAATCATAGCTTTTTACTGGTGCTTTCAGGTCGTTTAGAGTAAGGCTGGCCCCAAGCGTCTGATCTGCAACCTTGGACAGACCAAGACATTCAAAATCAAAATCTGAGAAAAAATAAAAAATAAAAATCTCCCGCTAATTCCACTGATGTCGACGAGATAATCCTTTCTCTTAAAACAAAGTCAAGTGCCCATGCAAAGATACCAGCTCTAATTTACAAAAAAGCCTCCTGATTTCTAACCCCTGCCATTGCATTGCTCTTCAACAAATCACTTGAACTCCAAACCTTTCCGGATATTCTAAAAAAGCTAGAGTAACCTCAGTCCATAAATGTGGTGATCTCACTGTTGTCAACAATTTCAGACCTATATCAATTCTGCCAACCTTGTCAACATATTTGAAAAGCTAATCTACAAGCAGCTCTTATCTAATCGGTACTCTTACTGAAATTTTTAAATATGTTAGATATTAGGTCACTGCACATCCTCTCATGTATACTCTCTATATTTAAAACTCTGAACAGTAATGCCAATCCTGATCTTAAACGCTTCCTAGAAAGTTGTAACAGAACCCATGGGCACCATACCAGAAACAAATACCTATTTGATATTCCAAGAGTGCGCCTTAACCAAACTAAAAATGCTCTACAAATCAAGAGACCCAGAATGTGGAATGACCTTCCCAATCATGCCAAACGCTGTACCTCTCTTAACCAGTTTGAGAAAAACAAAGTACTACCTAATTAACACCATGTAACCTACCTTAGCCCCAAATTGTCAACCCATGTCTTGCTATTTTCAAACAATACTGTTTGACCAAGTTGTATAATTGCTGATTTCTGCCACGTTCCCCCCACACCATTTTTTTCTTTTCTGTACAATTTATACTTAAATTTTTAAATTTTTCCCTTTAATCTCAATCAGTATTAAGCTTTAGTCTTAAGTTTTTTTCCCCACACCTTACCAAAACGCTGTGCGTATTAGTGGTTTTAGGTATTGTATGTACTAGCTCTATCTATAAATCCAAAATTATGTTTGTAACTCATCTTCTGTGTATGTACTTTTACTTGAATAAACATTTTTATTTTGATTTTGAACTGTTGTGGGGTTGCATCCTGGGCAGGGTCATTAGTTCCACCTTGGGGGTACCTCGATACCAGCCTAAAGTATATACGTACACAGGCTACCTGTCCAAGACAAAGCAAATTATTATTATTAATCAAATTTGGTGAAAACATCTGTTCTCTCTTAGGTAATTTCCATATGTAAACAAAGACAGTAATTCCTTTAAATGTGAACTATATTCAAGAGACTTGTAACAAAAAAAAAATCAAAATACCTTTATTTTGGCTATTTATATTTTTCTAAATATTTTCAAGTTCATAAAGCTTTATACATTAATTAGCAGATATTATCCGAAAATATAAGTATACTTTTTTGGTTACAATATATCTGTTATATAACCCGGCCATAAGCTCGCTCGTTTAATCAATGAATGTTATTGTGAGTGTTGAGGGAGGAGGAGGTGTGAGGCAGCACCATGTGAGTACGTGTGAGGCAGCACCAGCTGATGGGTCCCTCAGCACCTCTACTTACATGGAGGCAGCATATACCAAGACATAGAGCACACATAACACAGGAGTCTACAAGATAAGACAAGAGTCTACAAGGAAAGACTGTATTAGTATCTTCTTCAATAATTGGCAAGTTTATTAATTTTTGTTGAAATTGCTTTTAATTTGTTGTCATATTTGATAATATTGATTTGTTGTCAGTTTAGAACAGGAGTTTCACATGTGAGTTCCTAGGCCTGTTGTGTAAGGTTAGTGTCTGTCTGGCAGCGGTCCTCCTGCTCCCTGATCCTCACAGTTTATTATTATTATTTTATATACTGTGTATATATATATATATATATATATATATATATATATATATATATATATATATATATATATATATATATAATATAAATATATATTATTAAATATGACCGAAAAAGTAAGATTAATAATTCTAACATGAATTTTCTCGATCTTTCGTACATTTCTTTTCACTATTGGTGGTAATTCAAAAATCAATTCTCCAGAATTAATTTTTATTTCTAGTCTGACACGACACTTGAGCGCGTTTCGTAAAACTTATTACATTTTCAAAGACTTTAGTTTACACATACACAACTGAATAGAACTTACACATCTCCGATTTGTTTATATCTACATTTGAGTGAGGTGGATGGGGTGAGGTGGTATTAATAGGGTATTAATTTCATCAACACAAGACAGAACACGAAACAATGGGTATTGAATGGAAGTGATTGTAGAAAGCCTATTGGTCCATATTTCTTGATGCTTCTATATTGGAGCGGAGTCTTGAGGTGGGTAGAATATAGTTGTGCATTAATTGGCTGTCAACAGCCAATTAATGCACAACTATATTCTACAAAAAGGATCAACAGTATACAAAAAGGATCACAGACAGAAAATAATAAATTATGGGCGATGGAAAAGATAATAAGAAATAAGCTGGTAGAATACCAGTGTTGGTTTAGGAATGTTCACTCTTGCTTCATAAACTTGACAGAATTTAGTGATTGGAAAACAGAGATCAGACAATACAGAGAAGAGTATAATGCATATTTTTTAATTTTCATAATTAATGCCTACAATACATTACCCCCAGTTAACAAGTTGGAGAATCAAGCAGGAGTGACTGGAAAAATGCTTCAATGGATAGAAGAGTGCCTACAAAGCCAAAGAATAACAGCAAGACAGGAAATTATTTGAGTAGCAAGACATTGCCAATGGTGTCCCACAGGGATCAGTGCTTGGCCTTATCTTATTCCTAACGTATGCAAATAATCATCTGAAATGGATACACTTCTTTCCCTCTGTTTGATAATGGAAAAGTTATGAAGAGGAAACATATGATGGAAGACAAAGAAACTACAAGATGATCTAGACAAACTAAAGGTATGGTAAAAAAAAAATGGCTACTAGAGTTTAACTCGGGCAAGTGCCAGGTAACGAAACTGGGTGCTGGCAGTAAGATGCCGAGTATAAAGTACCAAATAGAAGAAACTGGCCTGAAATCGAACCTGTTGGTTGATATTGCACATAAACCGTCTTTGGATACTTACATCAAGTAGATACAAGTTGTATTTGTATGGTTAGCTAACATAAGAACTGCCTTTTAAAACCAAAAAAGTGCAAATGTTAAGGTCACATAACATAAATACTATAAATGCTCTGTTGTTGTTGATTGAGGGGCGATAACAAGGGATCGGATGCGCCCCTAAGTGCACAGTACTCAATATGGTTACATTGAAGTTTATGGACAACTCTATTATTAATGTATATTATATAACTGTTAGTTTCACATGGACATTCCTTATGGTACCATGCTTTATTTTTCCTGGATGTAGAGACACTCTCAGTATGTTTGGACTTGTCACATAAAATAACCCACTTACATAGGTTTATAAACCTCAAAAAGAATGAAAAATTTGCTGAAAAAGTAGGTCTCCACAAAATCATTAACTGAGATAAGCAGTGTCCTAAGGTGTAGTTTAATGATACTGTACATAAATTTCCAGTTTATTTATTATAACTATAGTACATCATTCACTTGTTGGAAAAACTTCTTGACATCCATTATGTCAAAATTACATGAACACTGCACAAATAATTAATGTTGAATTTTTAATATTCTATAAGCCTGAAAGTTAACATGCACTTTAAATTTCAGGCCAGATATGGTTGAAGTAGAGTTTTTGCTGTGCATACTGCTAGTAAGTGTGCTTTGGGGTATAACAAACCCATTGCTTAAGAGGGCCAGTGTTGGTATTGAGGACATTCAGATGTCAAACCCAGTATTACAGGTATGTGTGGGGTTGTGTGCTGTATTTTAAGAAATGGTTTGCATTTGTATGTTGCTATATACTGTATAGTACTGTACTAATGTTAAGGTCAAATAGCAGATTAATACAAGCTGATTGATGTATACTGACAAAGGTAAACCATATGCATGTTATTTTTAATAACTCCTAATTTTTTTTAAGGATTTTCTACATCTATGTTTACGAGTTCACCCATGTATACTTTTTAATTGCTTTCCTTTATATGATGCAAGTTTTTTCTTTTGGAATACAGTACAGTATAAAAGTTTCTTTATGACAAGCACAGTTACTGAATACAGTATAATAATATAAATAGTATTCTAAGTACCGGTACTAACTAATATGGCTATTTTTTTAATTACTGTAATAAAAGGAAAAGTACAAACAACACTGTAATTTAAATTTTTTACCAAATTTCAACTTTAGCATTTATATTTCAGTGTAGTCAAAGAATGTTCTGTGTTTTACAGACCCTGTGTGAAGTGAAATTCCTAGCTTCGCGACTCAATTATGTTTGTCCTTTCCTGCTCAACCAACTGGGAAGTATCCTTTTTGTGTACTCCTTGGGTACCACTGACCTCTCCCTGGCTGTCCCACTGAGCAACAGCCTGACATTTCTAGTGACAACCCTGGTCGGTCGTTGTCTTGGGGAAGAGACCACTAGCAAGATGACATGGGTCGGAGCTTCCTTAGTCTGTGCTGGGGTTGCTTTATGTGTTGCCGACAAAACTCGGGAGTGAATAATTCTTAGTTTTTTTTTTTTAATACCTCAATGAAAAGATTACTTTCTGAATAGGATATAAGAAGAGCTCAAGTTAGAATATATAAGTTAGGGTAATGAAAGGAATGACGATTACAAATACAGTACCCTGTTGTGAAACACTTGCTATGCTTTTGTTTCCATAACTTAGGCTAATAATAGCCTCAGTGCCTATAACTGTAAAGTCACAAGTAAAAAATAAATTCTTCTGTAATATTTGTCAGTCATTTGATAAGGAAAAGCATTCCATTCAATTATCATCCTCTGAATAGTGTTATTACAAACAAAAACTAAACAAATTTATATTTGTTTTTCAAAACATTGAATCATTGAAACTGGATAACCATCAACAAAGCAGTGATACAAGATAATGAGCCAGTGCTTGGAATTATTAATAATTATTACAAAACTGGAATTAGTAAATTCATCAGACACACACACAGGTAGCCACTCAGGAGCCACAGGAGCTGCCAGTAATACCAGACTTTTTTATAAATGACATATTTAAATCAACTGAATAACGTATATGCGGTATATCTTTTAAAGAAAGAATCTATAACTTTGAGAACCAAGAATGCTCCTCAGCTTAATGTTAGTTAAGGAATAAATACACTTCATCAACCAGTGATGGAAAATTATAGTACAAATCCTTACATATGAGCTAATTTGGCCCACAATTATCTTTGGATAAATATTTTTCACTTCACTTTCAGAGGCAAGATATAAACTTTAAATCCAAACAAATTTCACAATGTTCTATAATGTGATATCCAACACAAACAAAAATAATGCTACAGTAGTGTGGATCCTTTGAGATTATTACATTATTGGTCCACTTTGACAATCATCTGACGATGCGTTAATAGAAGACTTCGGTAATATAGAATTATTTATTGGTGAACTGTGCTTGGTGTTGCACAACATATTAAAGTACAACAGCTAAAAGTGTCTGTCACATGTTAAGTTTAATTTTTTAACTACACAAAACTTCATTGCAGAATATAGAAAAAATGTGTAGAATTTCATCAGTTTATTATAAAAAGAGAATGAGCCCATATGTAAGGGCTTATTTAAAGTAACACAAATACAAGGTTGTGGTTTTCTAGTCTTTCAGTTTCTCTCGGGTTGTGAAAGGCCCTGTTCTTGTTTGTACACAAATCAATTGTTATGTGTTACACTACTGTTATTAAGTGCCTTCTCAGTTTACAGAAGGAAGTTATTCATCTTCTAGGTAATGTCACGTTACAGTACTGTACCTTTGGTTCTACTCTACTTATAACTGACTATTTGGATTTAGTTAATGGTATGTATTTACAGTACAATAATTAATTTTGCCCTTTTAAATTTAAATACCAGTAGTTTTAGTTCAACATTTACATGGTTGGTATATAAATATAATATTATGCAGGCATAAATGGCTTTGTATATTTATTTGTTAGGGCATTTGCATGTTATTTATATTGTATTTTGCATTTTAAATATTGATAAGTAATATATATATTTACTATATATTTTTGGAGTAGCCACACACAAGCAGCCTTGTGAACGTTTATTAAAATTTGTTTATTTGGCAAACTGACTACAGTATTTAAATTAACCAAATAATGTTTTAAGAATTTAAGGTGCTCGATAAATTCTTTCTATGATTTGGATAAAGCATAATTCATATTTAATGTAATTGGAGAATATTATTTTTGTGATTACAGCAGTTAGGTGTATCTGTATTATAATTCATCCAGTAAATTTTTGGTGTTCTCAAAGATCCTTAATGTTAAGAAATGTGCTGCTACAAAATTCATCATTCTGCCATGTAGATATAATAGCTTGCCCACATGTTGCAAAAAACAGGTTAAACATTGCAGAGATCCATCCATATATGATTGTCCTTCCAGCTATTGATAAGATGCAAAAAACATTTGCATAGTTTGTCCATTTAGTATACAAACTCCACTGATAAGGAAAATCTTTTGATATGAATGTTTATTCATATACACCAAAATACATACATACAGTATTTTGTATCCTTTAAGCATACTGTATATGATTAAAAGATCATTTTCTATTCTGTATTATATTTATTTAGGGTCTTTTTCCATAATTGTTATAATATAAACTTCATAGAGAAGGTTAGCCTTGTGCTATTATATTCACCTTTGGTTCAATCAAATGTTTTGAACACAGGCAATATACAGTTGACAGTTAATGCACAAAATCTGAACATCATTAGGCTACTTATACACAAGATAATACTAGGTTTATGTTGGAGATAGTGCTTCCTTAAAATAATTGGTGTAAAATGGCTTTACAGAATATATACTAACTTGACCAAAGGAAGCCTTGATGGGTGATCTTTGTCAACATACATCTTAACCATTTGATCCTTTGTATCATGGTCTAGGGGCATGTTGAAATACACATTGTGGTGTCTAGGTTAGGGACTTGGGATAGTTATCGAATGCTGTCATTTTCTTGTTATTTCTTCAGCAGTATAGATCAGTAATCAACACTTGTGCATAAACAAAATTATGATCTATATTACAGGTGCACCTATACAAAAATGATTGGTGCACTGTGTAGAATCATTAATGAACTGATATCAACTCGGTGGCATCCTGCACTCCCAATATTAATTGTCTATATTTTCATGAGCTGTGTCTTGCACAGCTGACATTTTAATTTCTCTTTTGGGTAGAGAAATATGGTTTGTATCTATAACATAATTGACTTTTCTTGTCTGACTTTCAGAATTTTAGACAAAGGTAATTGGTCCAAATTCTATTTTGTGGTGCACATCCTAGGTAACTACTAACACACACATATTGGACTGCTATATTGTAGAATCTAAGCAACTTAATAAAATATAAATTGCCTTGAGGGAGAATAATTTAAATTAAATCTTAATGATAATGTAGTGTGGGGGGCATAAAATGTACATACAGTACTAATTCTTTTTGGATTTTACCTTTTATGAAAAGTTAACCGATTAGATTTTCTCATCATGGCTGTCTGACCTTCCTGCTGTGTGTGTGTGTGTGTGTTGCTTTGAAACCCTGCCTGCTCTTTCCTATGCAGAGTCATGCATACAGACTCCTATTCCTGCACTTTTTTGAGGTAGCCATTGGGTGTGGCCATCTTTGGTTGAGTTTGCCTTTGTTTTGCTTTGCTTCGTTACTTTTGCCTTTGCTTCGTTGGGGCTCGTTCTCAGTTATCTTCCTCCTGGTCAGCTGTTTCTTCTGCTTCTGTTCTTTCCATATCTTACCCATAGCTGATGCTCTTGCCACCATTTCCTATGGGTAAGTCCATTCCACTTCTTC